GAGAGAGAGAGAGAGAGAGAGAGAGAGAGAGAGATGGGCAAAAAGAGGAGGAGCGAGAAGAGGAATGTGCCTCGTGGAGGAGAGGGAGGGAGAGCACTGGGGAGGGTACTCTATTCAGGATGTGCAGGGGGAGAAAGAGAGAGGGACCGAGAGGGGAAGAGGGAAAGAAAGAGGGAAGAATGAAAGAGAGGGAGGGAAAGAGTGTGAGAGAGAGAAAGGGGAGAGAGACAGAGAGAGGGAAAGAAAGAGGGGGACGGTGAAAGAGAGGGATGGAAAGACAGAGAGCATAAGAGAGTGGGGGAGAATGACGGGGTGAGTGGGGGGGGGGGCTTATGCTCCACTGGGCCGGTTCCGCTGACCTGATTCCCTCCACAGCACAGGAACCGAGTTTGCGCTCTGCTGACGGTTCACAGAGAACGGCCCGCATCTGGAAGGCCCCTCTCCCCAGTCACTGCCCCCCTCCCCCATCCTTACCTCCCCTCCAGGCTGCCATGGCTGTGCACGTTCTCTGCCTGTATTTTCATTTTGTTTAACCGTGGATAGCCGGTGCTCGATCCACGTGATCGGCAGCACAGGCTCAGGCATTTGGTAGCCAGCCGCTGACTGTGCGACTACAGAAGCCCGGTATCTGCGGGGGCTCCCACCGGCCCACAGCGGGGTTCTGGGGCGTGGCCTGCCTTGGCTCCGCCCTCTTCCTACCATATGTTCCCCGCACCCTGTTCCACCATCCACCAGCTTTCGGCTTAGATTCTGCACCTAACGAGGGCCGCTGGCATCAGCCTCCACGTCGCCCCCTACCTGGCGAGGTCTTCATAACGCCCCCGTGTGCCGCGTGAGCGTCCCAGTCCTGCCAGGATCTGTTTTTTATTTGAACTGACTTGTGACACTTGACTGATTTAAATCCATTAACTTTCAGGACAGTCCCATGAGGGATTTCAATATCTGTTGCATATATTATGCGTCACACGTGACTAATAACCGTCACAAGCAGCAGAGTGACGATGCCGATGACATCACTCGCCTGTCACTCTGGCCCTTCCTGGCTCCTTTTGATTAAGCGATTTCTCCTGGGCATTCATTTTGTGCACAAATCTCATGGCGCCCAGGAGCGAGAGGCAGCAAACAGACCGGGACAGCACCAGACATCCGGGAAACCAAACGATCATGACTGATAGACGGCCACCAGACATGCGGGAAGCAGGGCCCCCGGGGAGAGGGCGAGACCCAGAGCCAAGAGCCATCAGGGTGGGGGCTGGAGAGGCTCATTAGGGTCCCAGGGGGTGTTACTGGCATGCAGGGGACATCTGCTGCACGGCTGGGGGGCATACTGAGTACCTGCCCAGCAGCCGAACCTTCCAACCTCGTCAGGACCCCAGATAGAAGCTACGTGGAGCTGGTTGCGGCAGCTGGGAGACTCCTGTGGGTGTGGAACTCATTCCCACCCCACCACCTTGCTGAGCCTTGACAGACCCGAGCCAGGCAGGCAAATTGGGGGGGGCAGCCTGAGCAGAACCAGGCACATAACCAAACCTTCAGTGTGACTGGGCTCACTCAGGCAGCTCTGGAGCCATTCTGGCAGGGTTGGGGCAGGGGGGGGGAGATAGTGAGAGCCCACTAAAATGGACCCCCCCCCCATGAAATGCACAGCTCTGAACAAGAGCGGAAGCACACAGGGAGAGCTCCAACAGTGACCACAGATCAGAGATAGAGAATCAAACAAGCATTTCACTCACAAACAAAGATGACTTAGTGAAGACACAGACTTGTAAGCTGAAGGTTGTTGGTCCAAAACCTGGGCTTGGCTTGTCTGCAGGCCACCACACCAATATTACTGAGCTGCTTCAGTGAAACTACCCAACTGGTTAAAAACATTAACTAAGCTAAAGCCAGTCTAACATTTGATCGTCATTTAACTGTGAAAGAGAATCAGGATCAGGACCTTCTGAGGAAGGTGTGACAGACACAACAGCAGCTCCGGCATGAAGATATGCACCAAACTCAAGGTTTGAGTTCTTAAGTAGGGGGGTGGGGGATATGCAATAATGTCCTTTTGGTAAGTGTGTGTGTGTGTGTGTGTGTGTGTGTGTGTGTGTGTGTGTGTATGTGTACATCGATTTCCCTCTTGTGATAATCACCGTGGGAAGTTAGTCAAGTTAAAAAAAATAAACAAAAAAGTAAAAAAAACAGGCCTTTCTGTGAGCACCTTTGGGGCTGTGACCTACAAACAGCCGGTGCTTCAGGAAGAGACTCGCGATAGACTAGGTGCAGCACCACAATCTAGGCGAGACTGTTTCACAGCTGCCTCCAGCGAAAAAAGATCAGCATTTCAGAACCCACCAGTGTGACCAGTTTTCTGTGGAAGGACAGGGGGTTGAGCAGAGACCCAAAACCATATCTGTGCCACGACATTGTGGGTGCAAATCCCACATGATAAACACATTAAAAAGAGTAAGAAAGCCAAGAAAAATGGCAAGAGAAGCTCTTAACTGTTCTGTTCGTGATTAGACTCAACACCATGCACCTCCCACGGCACCATGCACCTCCCACGGCACCATGCACCTCCCACGGCACCATGCACCTCCCACGGCACCTCCACACCTCATTACACTGTAAGGTGCATCTTTACAATCCATTTCAGCAGCACTAGCAGGTGGTTCGACTGGACAAATACTATCATTATGAATTATTAAAAACAACCGTTCAATCATCCCCCCGCCCTTCAATGTTGGCGTTATAAGCAACTGAAGACAAACAAAACACCGCACTGCTTGTCAAAAGTCTAAAGGTACAACAGAATTTACCGTTGAAGAACATTTAGTACAGGAAGGAATAACTGGTGGTGAAAGGGAACTGAGAATGTTATTCCAACTAACTAAAAAAAAAGCGAGTGCAGATAACAGTTGGGCTTCCAGTAAAACGGGCCTCCCCAAACTTCACGCCTTGTCAGATCACAACGGTACACTCAGGCTTAGATCACACAGCATCCCCTTTACGAGCTTTGCGGCATTTCCCGCAGAAAGACCCTGGGTTTTCACATCTGCATGTCGCCTATCGTGGCCATCGGCCATCTCCCGGCTCACAGCTCCTTTAAATGCGTTTTACCAAATAATCATTGTCAATTCATACGCATAAATAAATCCACAGAGAAATGCTCATAAAAGATCTACACGGGCTACCGTTTGTCACACCGTATAACCTACCGAAAACGCAATTACATGTGGCGCAAGTTGATACAAACTGACGCGTATATTGGCGCAAAACTGCACAGTGCATTTGCGAGTCATTTATTTAGAAAATACAAGAATGGGCGTTAAGTTCGTGCGGCGGGGCTGGGGGAGGCTCGGTGATGCCGCTACTATCCCATTTCCAATCAATGGGGGATTGTGATAAAGGCGCTGAGTGCTGGAGGCGAGCGGAGCCGAGCAAGCAAAACGCCCGTGATGGCAACGCCGGGGCGCCGGGCTTCCGTCAGCCGCGTCCGCCATCGCCAACTCACCGCCACCGCCGGGTGCCTCATCGCGCTGGACGCCGTTTGCCGGATCTCAGCCGCCGTCCCGGGCTTAAACAGGTTCTTCGTGAATCTCCGCGTGGATTCCGCTGCCATTTCTTCATCAGTACGCTCGACTCAGTGTCTCGGAAAATGCTTTTAAAATGATTTTGTCCTTCCTGTGATTTTCAGCCCGCTTGCCTTTTTCTCCCCTCTGCATTAAAACGCTGGAAGTGCGCGGACCCCCCTGATCTGCACCTCCCCAGTCCCCAGACGCTCACAAACGGCTCCTGTGTCCGTCGCTGACCCCCTAACAGCGGCGCAGTCCGAGGAAGCGGAACTAGTGCTCCGGCCCGCACGCCCCTCTATCGGTGCTCATCAACCGGCCAGAAAAGCCACACGCCTGATAAATTTCCCTTCTTACCAGAAATCGTTTTGTCGTACACGTTGCAATAAGTATGTGGCAAGTAGAAATTGTTAAAATATAGCATTTATTCATATATTTACAACCCGTGTTGCATTTTACATGAGTAAGGAACATGCATNGGGGGGGGGGGGGGGGAATGCTGCTCCCCTGGGGTCTTTATCGACTCCCCGCATTCCTCTGCCTGTCAGCTGGACGTGGAGGGGGCATAGTCCGGAGCTGGGGGGGGCATTCCCCTAGTCCTCAGTGCCTTACCACCACTGTGTGGGGGGGGGGCTCCCAGACAGCCTGTCCCTCCCCGCACGATAAAGCTGCCAGCAGCCAGATGGCGCCGTGACTGCGGCCCGTCTCAAACCCCGGCGGGCGCGCTGAGGGCATCGGGCCGTGTAAAGCACGTGTTCCCAGTTAATCCCGGGATGCCCGTCTGGTCCCAGCTTCGCTCCCGCCGGTGGCTTTTGACCTAGTAACCTTGTCTAAAAAAAGAGAAGCTATTGTACCATTAATTAAGGTTTCTTAACCTAAAGCTCTGCACCAACAAAACCAGGCGATGGGACAGAAACCGGAACATGGGGCCCCGATCTTGTCCAATTGGCGTTCATAAATCGATCAATTGATCGCCTGATTGGATAATCCTTTATCAAGTGTGTGCAGGTGCAGCTTGCTGCCTATCAAAGGACACAAATCTCTGATTGGACCTCGGGGGGCTGTGATCAGCCCTCAGGAATGCTGTACAGGAAGCTAGCCTTCCCACGACTGCCTGAATGGTGCCCACAATCGCGGGAGAGCGCCACCCTGTGGCCCAGCGGCTCTCTGCCAAAAAAGCCACAGCTTTCAGGAAGTGGGAGGGGGGCTGCTACTGAACTGGGGTCAGATTCCGTTCCCAAAGCGGGGTCACGCAGCACCTAAGATAACACAGGCCAAGCGAAGCAAACTTCCGCTGCTAAATGTAGGCACGGGACCCCCCCGAACCCCCCCCCCAACACTGTGCCCAGCTCCCAACACAAGACCAGCTCTCTGTTTGCATTCCGGATAATGATCACTTTCACAAACGAACGCGGGCGTCCGCCGGGCCGGCCGTCTTCAGAAGGGACGGAACGCGCTCCTTCTCCACCTCCGAAGGCTGAGCCACGCCGAAGAATGCACCCCCCCTTCTGCCAGCTGACAGTCCTCTGATGCTGACAGGCTGTGGAGGGCACTGACATCATCGCGATGCAGACACATGACCAGAGCCCACCCCCCCATCTGAAGCTGAGATCACACAGAGAGCCAACACTGGTAAATTCAGGGAGGCCGGAGGCTGAGGAGGGNTGCTCCGGCCCGCACGCCCCTCTATCGGTGCTCATCAACCGGCCAGAAAAGCCACACGCCTGATAAATTTCCCTTCTTACCAGAAATCGTTTTGTTTTAAACATTTCAATAAGTATGTGGCAAGTAGAAATTGTTAAAATATAGCATTTATTCATATATTTACAACCCGTGTTGCATTTTACATGAGTAAGGAACATGCATAATTACAAGGGCAAAATTAACGACAGAATAAAATACACAAAATCCGATTAAACAGAAATACGGGTTATTTTACGTATAGCGCCTCCCCGCGGCAAAAAAAAAAAAAGTATCGGAATTTAATGGAATGAACCCGGGCATCCATCTGAAAAAAAAATGTAATAAAGTACAGGATCATTAAAATCTGATATACTTCATTTCAAATTTTATACTCAGTTTTACTCGTATAGCATTATTTCTGCTTTTGTAGAAGCGATGTACATAGATTAAGCATCTCTGTGTTTGTCGATCCTTACATTACAGACTGATGAAAAGGTTTAACCTATGGATTTTTTGTTAGAAGGACGGTGAGTTTTTAATACGTACCTTATAACGATACTTGGTCCAATCGTTTCTGATAACGGAAAGGGCATTAAGATGAAACGGTTAATGATACTTTCAATTTTTCTTTATAGATAGGCCTATGATTGTGACGATAGAAGCATTACAAAAGATTGTGTGTTAGGTTTAAATTATATAATGGCTGCCAGTGACTGTCACACTGGGGATTTCACTAAATTCAAGCATTACATGCCACATTTTCCCGTCAGGGTCGGACTGCGGCGCCGGCGCTTCGTCCCGCTAAAGCCATCGCACGTTTCACGCTTTGCGCCATTGCTCTCTGTTTAAAGCACGTCGCCGGAGCAGCCCGGGCCATGTGAACATGTCCAGATGTTTTTGGGCAGATTGATTGCGTCGGATCGCCCAGGGAGATGCAAGCCGAGCGCCGACTCCCTCACTCCAGATCCCCACCGTCAGAGCCCCGCACCGGGGATAATGATGCTCGCTCCGGCTTTCCGCGTCAGCGCCGTAGCCATTCTAATGAGACACACACGACGCGCACATAATATAATTATCACCTGGATGGATTTTCTTATTCAGTAATTCCACTAAAGGACATCATAAAAGTGAATCAATACAAATATAACTTATGTAAAAGAAAAGTGGATCAAATCTTGCATTTAACCAAGCACACGGTTTTTCGTATATTCTGGCTCCCTCCAGTGTCTCTTTTACAGAATTGCAACCAAATATTTATTTTTGGCTTGAAAAATACACTCACCTAAAGGATTATTAGGAACACCTGTTCAATTTCTCATTAATGCAATTATCTAATTAACCAATCACATGGCAGTTGCTTCAAT